GGAAAAAGCAAGATTCTCAGATACGATACAATATACGCCGAACAAATCAATGTTGATGGAGATGCCTTAGAGGACCTTAACACCTTTACATATCTGGACAGCATCATTGATGTGCAAGGTAGATGATGCAGATGCGAAGGCGCGGATCGGGAAAGCAAGGGTTGCATTTCTACGGTTGGACAAGATCTGGAACTCAAAGCAACTGTTAGCAGACATCAAAGTCAGAATTTTCAATACAAATATCGAGAGTTCTACTGCATGAGGCGGAAACTTGGAGAACTACAAAAGGCATCATGCAGAAGAAACAAGTATTTATAAACAGTTGTCTGCTCAAAATACTTCGGATTCGTTGGCCAGACTCCATCAGCAACAGTCAACTGTGGGAGAGAACAAACGAGATCTCAGCGGAGGAAGAAATACGGAAGAAACGTTTGAGGTGGATAGAATACATTGAGGAAATCACCCAACTGAGTAAGCAGACAAGTCATACCTTGGAATCCTGAAATCCAATGGAAAAAAAGATCATCAAACAAATTACTCCGAGAAATTGATACAGACATGGAAAGAATGAACAGTAACTTTGTAAAACTGGAATGGATGACCGAGGACAGAGAAGTTGGAGGACGCTAGTCGGCGGCATTTGATCCGTTGGGGGTAACAGGCGAAAGTAATTAGGTAAGTAATACTTCATGATCACTACATAAAGGGGAATGGAAATTGAAGGAAACTCAGTCTGTAGACACTTGATCAGTACTCGTAACACGTAATCGAGATTATTTTCTCCGAACATCATTTGCATAGTTAGAAGAACTTAGTCGAGAAATGCTTGGATGTGGAATTTATGAACAACTAAACTAATATCAATTCACATGCACCAGACACACATTCAATCCATTATTCTTACAGAATCTTCTCTCAACATTAGAAAAATATCGTTAGTGTTCATGACTAGTTTATTCCTCAACTTCTTCTCTTTTGTAATGTGAACAACTGTCTTATTTGTACTTTTTATTTAAATAAACAATAATTTGTTTTCACTGTTGAAACTATTGTACAAGTTTATTTCTACTATTACTACTACTACTACTACTACTACTTCTTCATAACTTTCTATTACTCCGATGAATGATGTGACATGATATTTTATTGAGAACTTGAAAACTTTCAATAATCTTTGATTCCTTCATCCAAATGATATAATACAACTTAATGTTCATAACACCAGATATTTGAATATGTTTGACGCTTTTAGTTTGGATAATTCCTTAACATTTTAAATCATGAATCGATCATTATTAGACCACCTTTAGAAACCTGGAAGCACTAAAAAGCCATTTCATCCTGGTATGATTGATTCGTCATCAGTGCGCATCCACAACTCCTGCACCTCGCGGGATTCGAACCCGAAACCTTCGCTCTTGCGCGTGAACGCTGATGAGTCCCATACGAGGACGAAACGGCTACCTTACAGTGCTTCCAGATTTCTAACGGTGATCTAACATTGATCGAGTTTAAGATTTCAAATGTGTAACTTAACAATTTTCACAATGCCGTAATGCAATTACTTAACATTTCACATTATTTTACTGTAGACTATTACATTTACAAAATACATCATCTATAAATAAGATTGTTTGCTTTCCCGGAAATCTCTCATTAGAAATGACAATTTTTTTTCGTGAAACTATGCTCACTTCATTCATTTATTCATTCATTAACTGTTCGTTTATTTTTAAAAAAAATTAGAAACATTGATTTTTCAAAAAAAGCAACGAAAAAAAAAACATTGAAGCATAAAATTTTGCTGATCAGAAAAAAATGTAATCAATGGAATGAAAATAAACATGACATAAAGTTGCATTAAATTTATGACCAAAAAAAAATTTTAAATTTCATATGATTGATCATATATATATATATATATATATATATATATATATATATATATATATATATATTGTTTTGTCAGTTATTTCCTTCATTAATGATTTATTTTTTTTTGTATTTTAGATTTATGAAACTAACTTATTGAGTTTCATTAAAATTTTGAATTGGTCATTGTTAGTGTTGGGGATCTTAAACCCCCAAAATTCGCTTGACAAATGTCTTATTTTGGATTTTATGTTTCCGAGCATGGGCTGATCAGTTGACCTTGAGATCACATTTCCCACCAGGAAAATCCATGGCTATGATTGGTTGCTGTGTATTTTAGTGTGTTATTTTCTTAACTGTCTCAGGGACGTTTCTATGATGTATAAATAAACGAGAGTTGTATGCATGACTTTATTGTGTGATTGCTGGGTGTTTGTAGAACATACTTTCTACGCTTACAAAACCTTTTTACTTGCTTTGGGATTCAAGGTAGCCTACCTGGATGCTGGTAAAGTCTCGTTCGCGTTCATCAACTAAGCTAAACTCGTAATAGCCTCAAGCATACTAAGTGACGAACCCTACAGTTAGACTACTATTAGCAATGCGAAATCATTGGCTGGAATTTTCGTACTTGTACGGGATTCATCAGCAGGAGTGTGTATCCGTGAATCCCTCTGGAACCGAGGACCTTTGTGTTATGCTCGTGACTAGGTATGTTTGAAACTATTACGGGTTCTTCTTAGTCGATAAACGAGGATGAGACAATGAATCAGCGTCCAGGTTAGGCTATTCTGATTCGTTGAGACCAAACAGCTAACGAAAAGTCTTGATATAACGTAGAAAGTATATTCTACAAACACGCAGTAAGCACAATACAATCAAGCACACAACTCTCGTTTATTTATACATCGTAGAAACGTCCTTGGGACAGTCACAAAAATAGCACACTAAAATACGCAACGGCCGATCACAGCCAAGGATTTTCCTGGTGGGAAATGCGATCTCAAGGTCAACTGATCAGCCCATGCTCACAAAAAAGAAATCCAAAATAAAGACATTTATCAAGCGAGTTTTGGGGATCTAACGTCCCCAAAACTTTGGTCCAGTGAGTGTGAACGCTTAACCGCTGGACCACCATAATTACTGAATAATAATTATGCAACAACAAATATATGGTGAAGTTAACTTATAAATCATTCAAGAACCAACTAGACTTGATAGTATGATCATTCGATTAATGGTTACTCTAGTTGTCAGAAGGAGCGTCATCCTCATGACTTTCGAAGATTTTCGGCCTTCATCATGAAATATCATAACTATTCTAAGTGAAGACCTTCTAACTCTTAGGGCAGAGTTAAAGTGGTTTGAAATATTTTTCCTGGTTACAGTTTTTTTGCGAGTTAGTTTTCTACGAGATAGGGTCAGTAACCCCATGCTCAACCCCCTGCCTTTATCCGAACTTGGAATCGGAAGTAGCCTCGGAGGAGCTCTTGGCAGAGAGAATAGACCAGATTCCAGTAGAGGTAGAAATTAGGGAAAAGCATTGGAGGTGGATAGGTCATACATTTAGGAAAGCACCCAACTGCGTCACAAGAGAAGCCCTCACATTGAATCCTTAAAAGCATAGGAAAAGAGACAGACCAAAATCACATTACACCAGGAAATGGAGGCACTATGAAAAGAATAAACAACAAGTCCATAGAACTAGGAAGGAAGACCCAGGACAGAGTTGGTCGGTGATCTATGCTCTATTAGGGTAACAGGTATCCTTACTCAGTATAATCATTAGTTGATAAATTACTGCCTATCAAATTCTGATATTCTATTTTGAGTCCAAACGATCTAATTTCATGTTGAATGAAAACGATTATCAAGAAAATTTTGATCTAAGCTTCATGCATATTGACATTCATCAGTAACAAAATGTCTAAAATGTCAAGACAAATAAGACTGTTCTCTCAATTGATTATTTCTCAATTTCACTTTGTATAAATGCTTTTTATTCACTAGTCTCGGTTTAAATATAAACACACATATATTCCATAGAATTTGTGAATTAGTTTAGATTTAAAATAAAATTCAATCCTTAGATTAGTTAAAGCTAGAGACATTCACACCGTTGGATTCCGGTGCAGTGATTCATAGTTTAAGCGTTTGCTCACGAGAAAACATCAGTCTCACTTGTCGAAGTCCTGAACATGCACTGCTGCAGATGAGTCCTACATTAGGACAAAACGTCCATCCAATGATGATCTGAAAATCATCAGTAATTCATAGTTTCAATGTAAAAATTAATAAATTGAAATTGTAAAGTTATAAATTTCAATATCATTAAAAATACAGAATTGTTGTAGTGAAGGAGAACACAGGTGCGGCATGCGAATTGTATTGAACGAAAATTACACAGTTACTCAGTAAAATCGGAAAACCATATTGCAAATCGGTAATTTGCAAAATATCAGTTCATCATATGGAACTGGACTGTTCCTGTTGCAAAACATCAATCCATTGTCACTCACTGTTCATGTGTTTCATACAAATTCCATTGTGTTCCCACTCTTCATTTCTCTTGATCTTTCCCCATCTTCTGCTGCCAGACATTACGTTGACACTCACGTCATATACTACTTATAAGTAGCTCGCACCACATTGCTTTTCAATATCATTGAAAATACAGAATTGTGAATGCAATTGTAAAGATTGAATATTGATCAATGATTGTTGTTCATTGTCTATCAGCAAGCAATAGAATGTCAGTTGTTTTTCTCAGTTAAGATCAATTCATCTTGATTTCTAACTAGTTAACAACTATAACGATTATTTAAGTTGACTGAAATAGGCCAAACTTCATTTGTGTTCTATATATACATATATATACCTCAGAATAGTGTTTTATCCTTCAATGAAGCATTTATTTATCCTAATTGTAGGCGAACTTTGTGATTACTGGAAAATTTCTCACGATGAGAAAAACATTACCTCCATGTTATTATTCAGTTGAATTGTAAATAATTACTTTTAATTTATAAAAAAAGAGAATTTTATTTTTTCATTTGTAGGAAGCATTCAAAAACCGTTGTTAACTTATTCATCATCCAGCTGTTGAATTGGATATTGATTTGCACGATTTAAAATGTTGAATTGATTGTTGAAAATCCATGAGTAATATTAGTAGTAGTATTAGTAGTATTAGTAGTAGTATTAGTGGTAGTAGTAGTAGTAGTAGCAGTGTTAGTAGTTGCAGTATTAGTAGTAAATAATTTCATCCGAATAAATTTAATAAAAGTTAATTTCAATAAAACATGTCGAAATTTCTCTATACGTTTATAATACAACAGAATATTAAATGATGATTGTAGCAGGATTAAACTCCATGATATATGTATCAAAATGATCAATAAACGTACAAGTTCCATTTTTGGCACTTGATTACTAGCTAAAATCATATAAAATATTCCACTAGGCGCTGAACATATAAATGATAAAATATTCAATAATAGTAGTGTGATAATTTTTGAAATTTGTTTTGATTTCAAATTCACCGTTGTTGTTGTTGTTGTTGTTGTTGTTATTGTTGTATGATGCTTTGTCATTCGACAATGTTCATGTGACCAATGGATAATTTTCACTAAGAAAATAATATCAATCAAACTGACAAAAGTTAATTGAAATAAACATGAATTTGAAAATAATACTTCATAAAATGTTAATATTGTTGAATAATCAGTAAACCAACATGTAATCAATTGTTGATTTGCAAATAAATCGGTATAAATAACAATTGGTGCTATCATTATACTACTTATTATGATGGTTATGATAAGTAGTATTCCAGTATAATGTTTTGAAGAGATTTTTTGAATTATTGGTTTTTGCATTAATAGTAAACGATCAAAAGCTAGTAGGATATACATATTCCCGCGTAGATTACACCAAAACATTTGAATTGATTTAAACAAACGACAATATAAACTAGATATTGTTAAAATAAAATAATATATTGTTCCAGATGATATATATGGTAAACCATAAGCTGGAAATAATCCTAACCAACCAATAAAAATATTCATGCCAATATCGGCAATGGCAAGAATGCCTAAAAATATAAAATATCGATTTTTCGGGTGAATTAACAACAGAAATATCACCGCTACAATAGTATTAGTCATTAAATTCAATGTTCCAATAATTGGATATACATAACCAAATAAAATTCCATACAGTTTTGAAATCCAACATGCCAGATAACTTGCATCAGGATGTTTTGTATCAACCAGTATACAGTCGATTAAAGTATCCCACGGTGTATTCAATTCAGTCCAATTACTGAATGCATTCATAATGACTGATGGAAATGGTAATACTTTGTTCATCAGTTGCACTATCAATTGATTATTCATAGAAAATTATAATGATTATATGTTCAATTGTGTGAATTTTACAATTTGTTCAATGGTGTTCAATTGTTTAGTTTCTTTTGTATCAATGATACTACTACCTAGTTGATCAAATTTAAGTAGTTTTTATTTATCAACAAAATTCGTAAGATATTTTAATGAGTACAAAAAAAAATTGAACATTTAACAGTTTTACTAACATAAGAGTAAATTGACTGAATCTCTAGAGAATAAATTCATAACTGAAATAAAACTGAATAAAAAATTTAAATATTTTTTTCAAAAGAACAAATCAAAAATAGTTTTTTTTTAAACTTAATCATTTTAAACAAATCTGATAATAATCATAATAATTTCATGTTATTTTCAAACGAATTGATGAGATATTATAACATTTACCATGAGGATCATGTATATTTCTAACTGAATATAAACAAATATATATTAATGTGGATGAAGAAATCAATCTTATTTGTGTGTGTGTGTGTGTGTGTGTGATTGTATGTGTTGACAAAGTGATGAGATTTGAACATGTTCAATGTGATCAATTGATTAAAAATTGAATGAAATAATTAACACTTGATTTCTTTCTATTGAGCTGATAATGAAAAAACATTGTGAATTAACAGGAATTATTTTTTTTTAACAAAAGAAATTATAAACATTTAAGATAAAAACAATTTTATTATTTAGTGTAGAGAGGAGTTTTGTGGAGTTAGTAGTGTAGTGAAGGAGAACACAGGTGGGGCAACCGAATTGTATTTAACGAAAATTACACAGTTACTCAGTAAAATCGGAAAACCATATTGCAAATTGGTAATTTGCAAAATATCAGTTCATCATATCGAACTGGACTGTTCCTGTTGCAAAACATCAATCCATTGTCTCTATTCATGTGTTTCATACAAATTCCATTGTGTTCCCACTCTTCATTTCTCTTGATCTTTCCCCCATCTTCTGCTGCCAGACATTACGTTGACACTCATGTCATATACTACTTATAAATAGCTCACACCATAATAGAACTCCCGCTGTTAATATTATGAATTTGTCTGAGTTTCGAAAAACCATTGAAACATATATAACAAAAAAAATGTGTAACTTGTCATATTGAACATTTAATTTTTTGATAAAATGTATCCTTGTCACAATCGATAAACAAGAAATGTTCTGGATATTAGTTTTTATCTCATTGATTGAAAGAGAAACTGTATGAAATAATGAACCATTAAATGGAAAGCTGTTTATGGATGTTAACAAATGGCCGTGATTTTTTAAAAATTATTAACATCCGTTTAAAGAGTGTGTTGAGAGATTATTGAATGTTACTAACACCATGCACTGATTCTCTGTTAGATAATGATTGAAAATCTGTAAGCAGTGAATAAATGTTTCTTTCCAATTTAAAAATTCCTGAACGATAACTACTCACAAACACATCACAGTAGACTGAACCAATGATTTAACTGTAGGTCTTCTCACTTGTTTCGAATTCTGAAAAAAAAACATTGTTGGCTTCTCTTGCCCTAAATAGAGCATAAGCCACTGTTAGGTTCGTCACTAGATACGCTTGAAGTTAATAAGGGTTTATCTTAGTCGATAAACGAAAACGAGACAATGAACCAGTGTCCAGGTAGGCTACCCTGATCCGAAAATGTCAGAAAAAGAAGTCTTGATATAGCGTGGAAAGTATATTCTACAAACACCCAGTAAGCACAATACAATCAAGCACACAACTCTCGTTTATTTATACATCATAGAAACGTCCTTCTTTCAATCACAAAAATAGTACACTAAAATACACAGTAACCAATCCCAGCCAAGGATTTTCCAGGTGGGAAATGCGATCTCAAGGCCAACTGATCAGCCCTTGCTCACAAAAAAGAAATCCAAAATAAGGCATTTATCAAGCGAGTTCTGGGGATCTAACGTCCCTAACAGCCACCGACCATTATTTTCTAACCTACTCTGTCCTGGGCCTTGCCTTTCCAATTTTGTCCATTTATTGTACATTCTTTTCATGTCTGTCTCCATATGTCAGACTATTGTGTTTCACGGTCTTCTTCTTTTCCTATGACCTTGAGGATTCCATATATCTTTTGAAAATTTATTTTGTTCAAGACCTATTAAACTAAATCATATTCGAGTACATCTAACTATATGCCGATTAAGTTGAATGATTTTTAGCTTCGAGAAATTGTCAAGTTGAATAATTGTCACAAACAATCAACACAAATGATGATTCTGTTGGACAAATATTAACCAAACAAAAAATTGCAATGCCATGTCGAACAAAAATCAAATATATGTGAACAGAATTTATTCTTGAATTCAAGGTCAGTAGTACATAATGGGATGAATCTTGCTTTGAAAAATATTTAATCTGTCTTCAACTAGGAATCAGCAGATGCTGATCGATTTCTATAATTTCATTGATTCTAGTTGAGTATCAGGGCACTAGCTAACAGAGCTATTAAACTTTTCGATCACTATTTTTTATCTAGCTTAATAATACCACTACTCTGAAATCATTCAAGTTTTCTCTTCAAGTAAAATAGATAGATGGAATCGTGAAGGTTTTCACGGTTTGAATATTGGTTTCCAAAACATCAGTAAATACTTCGTGTCATCTTTATAATGCACTGATTATGTTTGTGTTGAACTCTTTCATAATCTCAACTTGAATTCAGATGATATTCTATAAAATAATTTGTTAACTAAGATTTCTCTATTCATTTGAGTTCCAATAAGTTGTGTGACGAACACTGTGTGATACAAGGCTATTTTCATATTTGACTTCTCTATCATGACTTTAAAGTACATTTCATCGTTTACTACAGTGACAACACAAATCTACAGGCTTATAGCTAGCATTACCTATATCGTATATAATACAGTCGTTTTGTTCATATCTATTGACCACATGAACATAAAGAGGGCATCTTTTAGGGTTACAGTACGAAATATCGCAGTGTTTGGCACTCTGCTAGGAAACGAACGAACATTAATAAGACGTCGATTCTTGAAGTGCGTACTTCCAACTGTTAGTCACTGACTGTTTCGTAAAAGAATCCTCATGAAATATTTCCTTGTCGAGAATTTCAGATTGTACTAAACATCATAATATTAAATAAAGCTATAAAAATATTGTTATTATTAATAGGATAATGTTATAAGTTGTTAAGGATTCTGGTTTACTTGCCAGGAGATTTTAAACATACATACAACTCTCATGTTGGTATACTTTCATGGTTGACAGTTTGAAACTCTTCGAATCAGGAAATACACACACAGTGACTGATAGTGTCGTTATCATCAAGATGATAGTTTGCCTCAAGCTAAGCTATTATCTGTGTTTGTGAGTCATCGTCCGTGCTTGCATAGTGGAGAGATTATTATTTACAGTTACGAGATGGTCTGTAAGAGCACAACCATAAGTTATTAAGTATTGTAATTTAAGAAAAGACTATTATTACATTAATTAATTTAAGATAAAACAAATATCAAATGTCATTTCTGAATTTATTCAGCTTTAGCCTCCTGTCTTGTGATCGACTTACGAAATGTAACTAACTAACTTATCATACACATAATGTCTGAACTAGGGATTGCCGAAGGCTAAATAGAATCAGTCATTTGAATAACTGTCTAATATAGATTGTTGCAGGATTTCAATGAACAGATCATATACTACTATATTCTAATGTTAAAATAATGAATGTTATGCGTCTATGTGTGTGTGTGTGTGTGTGTGTAATTTTGGTTTAAGTTGTTGTTTAATCTGTAATAAATTAGGATAATAAATTTCTCGTACTAATTAACGTATAATTCGCTCTCTCTCTCTCTCTCTCTGTAAGATGATTCAATATAACTCGTGATTGATACTTTATAATGAGATTAAAATGAGCTATGGCTATTAGTATTAAGGTCGAATAATTAATTCTATATTTATTAGTAAATAAAAGCTATAAATTACGGTTTCTTTTTATGGAGCTCATCAATGGAGATAAGTATGTAAGGTAGTAATTTAGAAAAAAGATTTAATTTAAACACCTCACAGTGAAGACATTTCTTTGTCGACGAAATTTTCTGAAAGTAAACAATACCGAAGATCCCGGGTTCGAATCCTGCGGGGTGCAGAAGTCATGGATGAGCACCGCTGAGGAGTCCCATACCAGGACGAAACGGCCGTCCAGTGCTTCCAGGTTTCTAATGGTAGTCTAACAATGACTGATTGATGATTTCAAATGTGTAAAAACACAAACCTCCAAAACTGCCTGAAAAAATTGTATTCATGTTACGGGCTTGTGAAGATTGTTAAGTTACACATTTTTGAAACTATGAATCGATCAATGTTAGACCAACATTAGAAACCTGGAAGCACTGAAAGACGGCCGTTTCGTCCTGGTATGGGACTCCTCAGAAGTGCTCACCCCGCAGGATTCGAACTCAGGACCTTTGGCATCATGCGCGAACGCCTAACCATAGGACCACTGAGCCGGTATCTAACGGTGTTAATGTCTAACTTGATCAATTCACGGAGTTGCGCAACCTTATACACAGTCTTCGGTAGTTACTGTCTACACCCGAACAGGTTGGACTTCACTGGTCACGTTTTCCCACTAGAACTCGGAGAAGATTCCTCAAGAAACTAGTCACTAGTGAGCACAGGTAATTTGTATTACAGGGGTGTGAAGATTGTTAAGTTACACATTTTTGAAACCATGAATCGAAATGTTTCTTTTGTGCAAATGTAGTAGTCTACAGTAAAATAATGGAGTGTTAAGTAATTGTTCAAACACAGACACACATATTCAAATATCTGGTGTTATGAACATAAAGTTGTATTACATCATTTGGATGAAGTAATCAAAGATTATTGAAAGTTTTCAAGTACTCAATCAAATTTCATGTCACATCATTCATCGAAGTTTCAACAGTAATACAAAATCTCAGTTGATTTAAACAAAAAGTACAAATAAGACAATTGTTCAAATTACAAA